AAGGGGCCTTGGGGGCCGAGGGGCCAAAGTAGGGGCCGGGGGGGCCTAGGGGGCCGAGGGGCCAAAGTAGGGGCCGGGGGGGGGGGGCGGGCGCCAGGCTCTGAGGTGGGGCCGAGGGGCCTAGGGGCCGCGGGGCCAAACAAGGGGCCTGGGGGGCCTTAGGGGGGGCCGAGGGGCCTAGGGGGCCGAGGGGCCAAACAAGGGGCCTAGAGGGCCGAGGGGCCAAAGTAGGGGCCGGGGGGGGGGGGCCGGGCGCCAGGCTCTGAGGTGGGGCCGAGGGGCCTAGGGGCCGCGGGGCCAAACACGGGGCCGGGGGGGGGGGCCTTAGGGGGGCCGAGGGGCCTAGGGGGCCGAGGGGCCAAACAAGGGGCCTAGGGGGCCGAGGGGCCAAAGTAGGGGCCGGGGGGGGCCGGGCGCCAGGCTCTGAGGTGGGGCCGAGGGGCCTAGGGGCCGCGGGGCCAAACAAGGGGCCTGGGGGGCCTTAGGGGGGCCGAGGGGCCTAGGGGGCCGAGGGGCCAAACAAGGGGCCTTGGGGGCCGAGGGGCCAAAGTAGGGGCCGGGGGGCCTAGGGGGCCGAGGGGCCAAAGTAGGGGCCCGGGGGGGCCGGGCGCCAGGCTCTGATGTGGGGCCGAGGGGCCTAGGGGCCGCGGGGCCAAATTAGGGGCCGGGGGGGCCTTAGGGGGGCCGAGGGGCCTAGGGGGCCGAGGGGCCAAACAAGGGGCCTAGGGGGGCCGAGGGGCCAAAGTAGGGGCCGGGGGGCCGGGCGCCAGGCTCTGAGGTGGGGCCGAGGGGCCTAGGGGCCGCGGGGCCAAACAAGGGGCCTGAGGGGGGCCTTAGGGGGGGCCGAAGGGCCTAGGGGGCCGAGGGGCCAAACAAGGGGCCTAGAAGGCCGAGGGGCCAAGGGGGCCGAGGGGCCAAACAGGTACAGGGCCGGGCGCTGGGCAGGTACAGGGCCGGGCACGAGGCTAGGTACGGGCCGAGCGACGGGCTAGGTACAGGCCGGGCGACGGGCTAGGTACGGGCCGGGCGCAGGCAGGAGACGAGGCCGGGCGCGGGCTAGGTACGGGCCGGGCGACGGGCTAGGTACTTGCCGGGCGCGGGCGTCGAAGTTGGCGGGGCCAGATGGGCCGAGGCGACGGGCTAGGTACTGGCCGGGCGACGGGCTAGGTGCGGGCCTGGCGCGGGCGACGAAGTTGACGGGGCCAGTGGGGCCGAGGTGACGGGCTACGTACGGGCCGGGCAACGGGCTAGGTACGAGCCGGGCGACAAGCTAGGTACGGGCCGGGCGCGGGCGACGAAGACGGCGGGGCCAGCGGGGCCGAGGCGACGGGCTACGTACGGGCCTGGCGAAGGGCTAGGTACGGGCCGGGCGCGGGCGACGAAGACGGCGGGGCCAGCGGGGCCGAGGCGACGGGTTACGTACGGGCCGGGCGCGGGCGACAAAGTCGACGGGGCCAGCGGGGCCGAGGCGACGAGCTAGGTACGGGCCGGGCGACGGGCTAGGTACGGGCCGGGCGCGGGCGACAAAGTCGACAGGCTAGGTACGGGTAGTGCAGTAGGTGGTGGGCCCATTGAGACTAGGTCCTAAGACTTAGTTGCTCTTAATACCATGTTAGAATCCTTAGGTGAGAATGATCGACTAGGAAACAAGGAAGGGTACAAGTAGAATGTCGAGAGAATTCTGTACCCCCTTAAGGCTAAACCCACTATAGCCTAGACAAATGTAAACACATGAACTAAGCCTAGATATAACTAAGCACATATGTTTGACACCTGGATGAACACATCAGGGACCTTGGGTGTGTCCGGTTCAGACAGCCACTCGTCGAAAATGGCTGGTAAATACAGCTGGAGCACGGGCCGTTGGTGAGCAGTGGCACCGATATCAGGCGGATTTGGAGGAGCGGGAGGTGCGGGAGGAGCAGAAGGAGCAGGAGGTGCAGGAGGAGCAGGAGGAGCAGGGGGCGCACGGGGTTCAGGTGGCACTGGAGGCGCTGCTGGCTCACGGGTATACCACCTGTCGTCGGTAAGTCGCCATGGGCGAGCTGGTTTTTTCTTGAAGAGGAAGTGCGTCGTGCTGAATTCCGCCATGGCTTCGCCAGCCAGGCGGCCTACACTGGAATCTGAATGAAAATAATGAGAACGAGGGTGCACAAATGGGCAACGAAGGGGACCCCGTAAGGTTGGCGCCTCGGGGTCCTCGTCAATGACAGGCGGGAAACCCCCGCCTACCCCCGTAGAGGACCCTGCGTGGCAGCATAAACGCTGCGCTGGCAGGGAATATTCCCCACCCTTCGAGAGGGTTCGGAAGAAATGCGCATGCCACGCAATGCATGCGACTGTGATTGGGCCGCACGGCAACATCCCCGTCACTGCTGTCACGATGGTGGTTCTAGACAAAACTCTGCGGTGGGAAACCGAACCGCTGCTGTTTTTGTCTGGAAACCATGCACAATCCCACGTGTTGCATGGTCGGTTGAATTCGCCTTATTGGGGGCTTCAATTTGGTATGTTTAAAAGTGATTTTATTTTTCTTCCTATTACAAGCGCATGCGCTTATAAACATGACTCGATTAGAAGCGCACCCCCCTAAAAAACATTGTTTTATTATAAGCGCACCTGCGCTTCTATCCGGGTTTATACGGTATTGTAGGCTCTGAATACCAAGTGTTACAATTGAGCGAGCGAGCGAGAATTGCACTATCGAAGCAAAACAGTACATCGAGCGAAGGCATGAGCGAATAATATATAGTGAAGCTAGAGTGGTAACGGTAATGTTGTTGAAATGCTAGGCAAGAATCAGAAACAGGAAAGAGGGGTTTTCACTAGCATGCAGTTCAGTACGTATAGCAAACCCTAATTCGGGCTGTATTCGCTATAGAGTACCCCACTGCAGGCTACACAAACATCACATTCTGACACACCCCCATAGTCAAAGTGGGGTACAATCAAAACAACAAGCAGGCAAAGCAGTAGTTCACAAGTATAAGCAAAGCTAGAGGCAGTCACAGAGGGCAAGTGAGGAGGAGGAGAAACTGTGAGGGCGAGAAGATGGGAGGCGACGGCTGAAGCTGCAGACACACAGGCAGCAGGAGTGCGCAGCATTGTCGCTACCAGGCTAAACCCGGACTACACGGCGACAGGCGCAGCTGACTCACTGTGCTCCCAGGAGTGCACACACTGTGGCTACCGGGCACAGAGCCCCGGACTACTCAGGCCACAGGGGGTCGTGGCTCTCTGGACTACCAGGAGTGCTCACACTGTGGCTACCGGGCGCAGAGCCCCGGACTACTCAGGCTACAGGGGGTCGTGGCTCTCTGGACTTCAGGCGCTGCGAACGACAAGTCGGCTACCTCCGGTCAATCTTCCCCAACTGTCCCACACCCCGTTCACACACTCCCTGCTGCACCTCTAGCACTGCTCACACGCCACCCCCCTCGAACGACTCCGACGGCTCCAACACATCCACCCCCCTCAGCGGCAGCTGCAGCAGTGGGAGACGGAGGAGGAGGAGTAGAAAGGGACGGCTCCCACACACGGCACCCCCATACTCTCCACCCCCAAACCCTAACACAGGAACGCAGGCAGCAGCGGGGGTGGGGCGCAGTCAGGAGCTCGGGGGACGGCGTGCGGCAAGGGGGGAGACAGTACGGGCCGCTCACGGGCCTGGTGCAGCCCGTACGAACCGCGCGCGGGCTGCCCGAGCCGCGCACGGGCCTGTCGCAGCCCGTACGGGCCGCGCGCTGGTCTGGCGCAGGCCGTACGGGCCGCGCGCGGGCCTGGCGCAGCCCGTACCGGCCGCGCGCGGGCTGTACGGGCCGCGCGCGGGCCTGGCGCAGCCCGTACGGGTCGCACGCGGGCCTGGCGCAGCCCGTACGGGCCGCGCGCGGGCCTGGCGCAGGTCGCGCGGGCCGCGTCGGGCGACGGGGGGCGACGCAACGGTTCGACGGGGCAGAAAACCGCCGCGCGCCCCGAGGCGCGCGGCGGGAAGAAAAAATCGCTGCGCGCCCGGAGCGCGCGGCAGGCAGGAAACAGCACGCGCCCGGGGCGCGCTACAAGCAGTAGAGCAGCGAAAGCATCGGGTGGGACCCACCCACAGGATCGACCCAGGAGGGTCGACCTGCTCTGATAGCATGTTGAAATGCTAGGCAAGAATCAGAAACAGGAAAGAGGGGTTTTCACTAGCATGCAGTTCAGTACATATAGCAAACCCTAATTCGGGCTGTACTCGCTATAGAGTACCCCACTGCAGGCTACACAAACATCACATTCTGACAAATGTGTGAAAATGGAGTGCGCTACGGGCCTAGCGCCGAGCCTGGGGATTGTCGAGGCGGAGGTCCGAAGCGCGGGTTACCAACGGAACCGTGAGGTTGGGTCGCGTTGTGAACAGTGGGGGGAACAATGGTCGAGGCGAGTGTCGCAAGTGGTACCACGGTGCACTGTTGAGAGTTGTTGGCGGGAATAGTGGTGTACGTGCTGAGCAGGGACGCGAAGCAAGGAAAAGGAATTTTCCTTACAATTGCTCAACCTCCAAGTGCGGCATTTGCGGCTCGGTGGAATGAATTATGGGAGGGGCAGTGCGAAATGCCTGACGAGAAGTTCGCTGACAAGTTCGATTGTTCGCAAAAGGTGTCTTTGATTCATCTCGCAATCCCTGTCTTGGGAACGGACTGTGACCTGGTTGCATTTCTGCTGACAATGCTTTTTTAGCCCAATCGTTTCCCATTTGTACAACCGGTTTATGTTCAAAAACAGAATTCCCCTTTAAAGTCTATAACGAAGTTTATCATGAAGAATTCTCAACTGACACCTATAGATAGTTCATGGAAGGCTAACTCGCAACAACATGAATCTGTACGCACTCCTTCATATGCTCAACCCATGTTCTTGTATAAATGCTCATATGGTTACCCTCCACTAAGTTGCCCTAAAAGGCTCTTTCCCAACCCCACCAACATTACTTCCATGGCCCACTCACTATTCCCAAAGATAATCGGTCACTCCTCTTCCTCCTCCTTGATTTCCTTCTTGCTCGTTTTGCTGCTCTTCGCCTTCTTGATTTTCTTCCCCACCTTGGTACTTTTTTCCTTGGTGCTTCCCTTCACGCTCCCCTTGCTGGTCACCTTGCTAATCCCCTTGCTGCTCCCCTTGCTGCTCCCCTTGCTGCTCCCCTTGCTGCTCCCCTTGCTGCTCCCCTTGCTGCTCCCCTTGCTGCTCCCCTCCTCCTTGCCCTCCCCTCCAAACTTCACCTTCCTGTTTCCACCTGTCTTCTCACTCGCTGTCTCCTCTTCTTCAGTATCCTCTCCCACCTTCTCCTTTTCTGTCTCATCAACAGCCTCCTTGTTCCCAGGCACCTCATCAGAATCACCTGCAGGCTCGGCCTCCTTAGATTCCTTAGCTTCAGCGACAGAATCATCATCAGAAGCAGCAGAAGAAGCAGAAGCAGCAGCAGCGGAACCATCAGCATCAGTAGCATCATCTGTAGCACCATCAGTGCCAGAAGCTTCAACACCATCCACAGCACCACCAGTGCTTTCAGCAGTACCAGCAGCACCATCAACATCACCAGCACCATCACCACTACTATCACTATTAGCAGCAGCACCATCACCATCAGCAGCAGCATCATCACCATCAGCAGCACCATCACCATCACCAGCAGCACCACCTCCCTCAGTCACCACCTCCACTTCCAGCTTGTCCTCTAGCGGGGGGGCCAGGAACGGGCGGCAATCGGTGGCGCTATCTGGGCGCACAAGGCTTTCGTGGATGAAGCTCATCTCACAGCATACGGCGCAGCGGTGGTTGTACTCAATACTAAACATGCGATACCCGAGGTTCTCGAGCGTGTAGACCATTGTGAGAGTGTTGATGCTCTTGTCCATGCTGTAAATGGGAAGGAAACAGACAATAACGAGGCAGGGGGCAGAGAACGTGGAAGGGGAGGTGGTTACGGCCACTGCAATTACCCTTGCAAACACAGATGAGACGAGAGAATACGAGAGAAAGCATGGAAGCATGCAAACTGAAAGAGAACAGAGGCAGAAAGGGAGCACCGCTGCAAAAACGGGTGAATTATATATTTCACTAGAAATACCCCTTACTTGTGGAATTCGATGAGGATCTGCCCGAAAGGAAGCTTCCCCCCATGCACAGCCAGCCTCTTCCCTGTGTTGTTATACAGCTTGCCAAGGTCCTTGATCCACTCAACCTCACACCCCTCGCAGTCAATCTTGAAAACGTCCACGTAATTATGCCCGAACTGCCCCATCATTTCGGGCAGCGTCGCAAACTTCTTCTCGGGGAATTTCGTGCGGTAAACGGGGAGGGAAGCGGTTCCGGAGAGGCCGATTTCGATGAAGTGGAGGAAGGGGAGGGAGGCCATGATGTTGCGCTTTGCAGGGGGGAGGAAAGGGTCGAAGGTGTAGGGCATGGTGCGCAGCATTTGGTGCATCTCCATCTCGAACGAATACATGCCAAAGCTGCCGATGCTGCAGGGGAGAGACGTAAGGGGGAGGGAGGAATGCGAAGCAGTTTTATGACCGTTCAACGAAAATGTACGATGGGAATGGAATAACAAGTAGGGGATGACGAGTGAGAATAAGAAACAAGAGAATAACAATTGAATTCGATGCGATCGGATGTATTTAGATACCATGCAGACTCCTTACCCGTCCATTATATAACAATCTCACCGCCCTCACCTCCACTGCCCTCTCACCGGCCTCAACCGTACTGCCTCTCACTGCACTCAACCGTACTGCATCTCACCGCCCTCACCTGTACACGACCGGATCTTTCTTCTGGATGACAGACGGCATCATGCACGCCCACTGTGGATGGAAGGAGGCATGAAAGGTTAGGTATGGGGAGGGAGGTATGGAGAGGGAGGCATGGGAAGGGAGGCATGGGGAGGGAGGCATGGGGAGGGAGGCATGGGGAGGGAGGCATGGGAATGGAGGCATGAGAACAGCCGCACAGAGAGACACGCAAAAGTTATCTGCAAGTCCATTTCTCGTTCTCCTTTTCCTATTTGTGAAAGTAGAGGGGAGGGGAAAGGGGGGTTGGGGGGGGCGTGAGGGAAGGCGCGAGGCTCGAAATGATTGTACTCTCTCTTCCACTTAACCTTTCCATCCTCTAACAAATTCCCTTCTCACCTTCCCGCCGTCGCCCCATTTCCCGATGCGCTCGTTGAGCGGACACGTGTACGTGGGCACGAGGATCAGCTCCTTCATTCGCACGGGGTTGCCCAGCATCGGCTGTAGGTCGCCGTTGAACTCCTTGCGCCGGCGCTCAACGTTCTCCTGCAACGTAAAGAACAAAAAACAAAACAAACAGGAAAGGATACGAGGAGAGGACACGTAAATGCGTAGCCGGGAATCTTGACAAGAAAGGAGTTGCCCAGCGTCGGCTGTAGCGCGCCATTGAACTCCTTACGCGTGCGCTCATTGTTATCTTGCAATCCGGAAAGCAGAAAAGGTAATCAAGGGAGGACGTTTAGACTGAGAATGCGCCTTCAAGGCGAAGCTCCATTCGCTGTGCTCAACGTTCACCTGCAGTCCGGAAAGAAGAAAAGAACGAGAAGGAGGCAATCAAACGAGGACGTTTAGACCGAGAATGCGCCGTTTAGGTGAAACTCCGCTCGCTGTGCTCAACGTTCCACAGCGATGTGAGGAGAATATTTAGGATTCTCCAAAGTCTCCTGCAGGAAAAGACGAGAATTATGTTATCAGATGTGCTTGTTTGATTCGCCATCCATGCCGATTAAATGTGGACGTTTCGACCAAGAATGCGCTTTGAAACTACTTGCACCTGCACTCAGAAACAACTAAAAAAAACAGAATGTAAATTATTACATGCATTTTAATCTGAGTAGATTAGAACATCTTGTGATACTATCTGGCCAAAAACTACGAATGCGTTTTGTGTATGATTATATTCGTAAAAACCACCCCATGATGACTCACATTTTCCAGCGCGTACTCACCCAATGATTCGCCTCCGCGCGGCAGATCGTCGCGTCGATCTTGCCCGTGCTGGGAAACAGAAACGCGACCCAGCCGAGATTCGGCGGAAGGTAAGACAGACCGAAGGAGCTTAATCCAGGCGACGGCTGCGATGGTGACACGTGGAAGAAAGTCATCAGGGCGACGAGCACGCCTAGAGCGATGACGTACGGAGTCATGCATTTGATGCATGATTTGGAATTAGGGGAAGCGTGGCTCTTCTTAAAATCATCGGAACCCATCTTGGATCAATCTGTATGCTTCCTTGCCTTTCTTTCTGTGTGAGAATGCGGAGCGCAGCAAGAGCTCCGACGATAGAAAAACTAAATGAAAAGGAATCCCGATATTATAACTAGCAACCAGTCGTCGACGCAACCGAGCTCAAGCGGCTCTGGAAGCGATTTCGTATACATTTGAAAAAGGGAGGTTCAAAAGTTTTGAAATTTGAAATATTGGTAACCCAGAAACAGCTAGTTTCACTCGCTTCACAAGGGAGGTGATCTCCCCGTCACCCAGGGCTCACTGGTGATTCAAAACTTTTGGAATAACAAAAGTATACGAAATCCAGTCCATGTGAGATCTACGCCACTACGCTCAACAGGCAGCATAAATCGTAGCAAAGCACATCGCGACAACAGCCAGCGCAAATCACTCCCGTTTCCGACACAAACTTAGACGCGTGGGGCAGTTTAGTGTAATTACACGTCCGAGCCAACGTCAGTTCCGCCCTCTAACACGGCGAGCCCGCCGGACCCCTTCTCACAGCCTCGCCTCGTCGTCCGTCGCGTTGCCTCACCACGCGGCCTCCTCACGCCACCATGAACGCGCACGCTGCGTCTCAAACTGCCGAACACGCACGATCACAGTCGCTTCCCGATCGCGCGACCTCGCTACCACGTTTCCGCAGTAGCGGCGGCAGCCGCAATTGAGGTGTCGCGAGGGTAATCAGAAACGATTGCTCCCCATTACCTCTTCCCGCCTCCCCGTTTCCCCTTCCCGCCTCCCCAATTCCCCTTCCCGACACCCCATTTCCTCTTCCCGCTCCCCACTACCCCTTCGCGCCTCCTCGTTTCCCCTTCCCGCTCCCCATTACCCCTTCCTGCCTCTGCAATTCCCCTTCCCGCCACCCCATTTCCTCTTCTCGCTCCCCATTATCCCTTCCCGCCTCCTCGTTTCCCCTTCCCGCTCCCCATTACCCTTTCCCGCCTCCCCAATTCCCCTTCCCGCTCCCCATTACCCCTTCCCGCCTCCCCAATTCCCCTTCCCGCTCCCCATTACCCCTTCTCGCCTCCCCAATTCCCCTTCCCGCTCCCCACTACCCCTTCCCTCCTCCCCGTGACCCCTTCCCGCTTCCCCATTACCCCTTCCCACTCCCCATTTCCCCTTCCCGCCTCCCCAATTCCCCTTCCCGCCTCCCCGCTTCCCCTTCCCACTCCCGATTATCCCTTCTCGCCTCCCTTCTCAAACTGCCGAACACACATCACAGTCGCCGCCCGATCGCACAGCCTCGCTACCACGTTTCCGCACTAGCCGCGGCAGCCGCACTCTCATTTCCCCCCTTGCAGACTCTCATTTTCCCCCTTGCTCACTCTCATTTCCCCCCCATGCTCTCCCTCATTCCTCCCCCCTTCTCCCTCTCATTCCCCCCATGAAGCCCCTCATCCCCCCCTTTCTCCCTCTCATCTCCCCCCCTGCTCCCTGTCATGTCCCCACCTTCTCTCTCTCATGTCACCCCCTTCTCCCGCTCATTCCCCCCCATTCTCCCTCTCATTTCTTCCCCTTCCCCCTCTTATATCTCCCCCTACTCCCTCTCATTCCCCCCATGAAGCCCCTCATTCCCCCCCTTTCTCCCTCTCATCCTCCCCCCTGCTCACTGTTATGTCCCCCCTTCTCTCGCTCATGTACCCCCCTTCTTCCTCTCATTTCCCCCCCTTATCCCTCTCATTCTCCCCCCTGCTCCTTCTCATTCCCCCCTTAACCACTCAGTTAAATGCCACATAACCTCCCTCTCATTTCCCCGCATTCCCCCCCCCTTCCCCCTCTCGTTTCCCCCCATCTCCCTCTCCTTTCCCCACGTGCTCCTTCTCATTCCCCCCCCCTTCTCCATCTCGTTTCCCCCCCGCTCATTTCCCCCCATCTCCTTTCATTTTCCCCCCTTCTCCCTCTCATATGCTTCTAACCCCTACCGTACCCTTGGATGATCGCATGCCATACTCATCCATCCGCTGCCATACACCGCCACACCCTTCCATCTCCTCCCATACCCTTCCATACGCCAGCCAAGCCCGTCCCTCATTCTGCCATACCTTGCCATACTCTGCCATACCTTTCCTTCCCTAGCGTAAGTGTACCATTCCCTTCCATACCCCAGCCATACCCATCCATCCCCTGTCATACCCTTCCATTCCCTTCCATACCCTTCCATACCTTCCATTCCCTTCCATACCCTTCCATTCCCTTCCATACCCTTCCATTCCCTTCCATACCCTTCCATTCCCTTCCATACCCTTCCATACCTACCATTCCCTTCCATACCCCAGCCATACCCTTCCATACCCTTCCATTCCCTTCCATACACTTCCATTCCCTTCCATACACTTCCATTCCCTGCCATTCCCTTCCATTCCCTGCATTCGTGCACAGGCATATGACTAGTCACGTGATTGGTATCGAAGAATCCAGGGTTGGGTGATAAAGGTTATGTATATAGTGATACAATTGTAAGGACTTTTTTTATAAAACATGTTGTGAGGCTACGAGCTTGATTTTGGTCCTGAAGTGCCAAAAATGTACTAGAGTTGGGAGTGTATGCATGCTTCTTGAATCACAAGTGCATAGTAATAAATACGCAGGGAGCTGCCGCACAAGTTGGCGGCTGCTGTTGTATGCCTGGCGTTGGTGTGCAGCAGAGGGGAGCGATGCATTGTGTGCTGCTTGGTGGACCTGCCGGTGAGAGGAGTGGGGGGGGTCAGGGCTGAGAAAGGGACGAGGAAGGGGAAAAAGAAGGCACATATCAGGGTGAGCTCAACCAAAGCCTGGAGAGAGTGCCCTTAGTCATCCAAGTGGCGTGAAAACGGTTGTCTAGGCAAGTCCCAAGGCATGCGATGGGACGCGCACAGTACCTGAGAGGCGTGAACGATGGGACAAAACTTGAGATGAGTCGAGCTCGCTTGCACGCACCATCTGCCGCAACAGCCTCGCTACCTCCTCCTCCTCCCTCTCCCTCCGCCTCGCTTCCTCATCGAGCCTCACACCCTGCTCGCTCCCCAGTCCACTGCTGACATGGCTGCTTCGATAGTGTGCACCCAGCGTGAGAGACCCGGCATGCTGCATCTCCTGCGGCTTGCGCACTCATGAGCGCGCTCGGCTGTGAGACCGCAGCAGGGCTCACTCGCTCTTGGTTCTGCTGTTGCTGCCCATGCACCTGCCGCTGTTCTTGCAAGATCATCCCAGCTCCAACTCCTCGTGGGAGCTGCTGCTACATTTGCTCCACAAATGCTAGGTCCAGTAGGAGCTCAATCCGCAGGAGCAGAAGTATGGTCAGAACCGGGGCAGTTGCAGAGTCACACGGGTTGGGGCCAACAGCCGGCGTCGGCAGTCCATAGTCAAAGGAGTGGGGCGAACAATCCTCCCCACTGGCTGCTCCTCGCCTCATGTCTCCTCCTCCTCCACCATGCCTTCCCCTCCTTTCCTGAGCTACCTCCTGCTCCGGGGGGAACACCAAAGGAAGGAACACTGGGTGTGGCAGCAGAGGCAGCTCCGGCAAAGGCAGCAGCGGCGGCAGTATGGGCAGGGACTGAAGGAGCGAGTGGGATCTCATGGGAGGTGAGATGACCCTGGAAGGAGGGGGGATGAGAAATTAAGGCATGGCGATGGGAGAGCGTGGAAGGGAGAATGGAAGGGAGCGAGTGGGGGGCAGTATTTTGCAAGGGATCCACCCTGTAAGGGAGGGAAGATGAAAAGGACGGGAGGGCAGTGGGGCTATGCCAGAGCTGGGAGGGAAATGAAGGGGAGCAAGGTGGGAAAAATAAGGGGAGAAGGGGGGGAAATGACGGGGAGCAAGGTGGGGAAAATAAGGGTTTAGGTTGGGAAATGAAGGGGTGAAGGAGGGAAATGAGAGGGAAGCGGGGAAGCGAGAGTGAGCAAGGGTGGAAGTGAGAGGCGGCAAGGGGGGAAATGAGAGGGAGGAGGGGGAGAGATGAGAGGCGGCAAGGGGGGAAATGAGAGGGAGGAGGGGGAGAGATGAGAGGCGGCAAAGGAGGGGAAATGAGAGGGAGGAGGGGGAGAGATGAGAGGAGCAAGGGGGGAAATGAGAGGGAGGAGGGGGAGAGATGAGAGGAGCAAGGGGGGAAATGAGAGGGAGGAGGGGGAGAGATGAGAGGAGCAAGGGGGGAAATGAGAGGGAGGAGGGGGAGAGATGAGAGGAGCAAGGGGGGAAATGAGAGGGAGGAGGGGGAGAGATGAGAGGAGCAAGGGGGGAAATGAGAGGGAGGAGGGGGAGAGATGAGAGGAGCAAGGGGGGAAATGAGAGGGAGGAGGGGGAGAGATGAGAGGAGCAAGGGGGGAAATGAGAGGGAGGAGGGGGAGAGATGAGAGGAGCAAGGGGGGAAATGAGAGGGAGGAGGGGGAGAGATGAGAGGCGGCAAGGGGGGAAATGAGAGGGAGGAGGGGGAGAGATGAGAGGAGCAAGGGGGGAAATGAGAGGGAGAGGGGGAGAGATGAGAGGAGCAAGGGGGGAAATGAGAGGGAGGAGGGGGAGAGATGAGAGGAGCAAGGGGGGAAATGAGAGGGAGGAGGGGGAGAGATGAGAGGAGCAGGAGGGGAAATGAGGGGGAGCAGTGGGGGAAGTGAGAAGGAGAAGGAGGGGAAATGAAGGGGAGCAGTGGGGGAAGTGAGAAGGAGCAGGAGGGGAAATGAGGGGGAGCAGTGGGGGAAGTGAGAAGGAGCAGGAGGGGAAATGAGGGGGAGCAGTGGGGGAAGTGAGAGGGAGAAGGGGGGGAAATGAAGGGGAGCAGTGGGGGAAGTGAGAAGGAGCAGGAGGGGAAATGAGGGGGAGCAGTGGGGGAAGTGAGAAGGAGCAGGAGGGGAAATGAGGGGGAGCAGTGGGGGAAGTGAGAGGGAGAAGGGGGGGAAATGAGGGCGAGAAGGGGGGGGGGGTTGAGGGAGAAAAGGGGGGGAATGAGGGGGAAGAATGGGGGGAATGAGGAGGAGAAGGCTGGGAAATGAGGGGAAGAATGGGGGGAATGAGGGGGAGAAGGGTTAGAACTGAGAGGGAGAAGGGGGGAAAATGAGGGAGAGAAGGGGGGAAAATGAGGGAGAGAAGGGGGGAAAAATAGGGGGAGAAGGGGGGGAAATGAGGGGGAGAAGGGAGGCAAGTGGAGAGGGAGTAGGGGGGGTTGTGAGGGGGAGAAGGGGGGAGGGGGGGTAATTAGAAGAGGATGCGCTTAGCGGGAGAGGCGCTATGCGGGCGCTAAGCGGGAAAGGCGCGCAGCGGGTGCGGCGCTAAGCGGGAGAGGGTGAGGCGACACGCGGGAAAGGCGCACAGGGGGTGAGGCGCGAAATGAGAGAGGCGCGCAGCGAGTGATTCGTTGCGCGGGAGAGGCGCGCAGCGGTTGCGGAGCTAAGCGGGAGAGGCGCGCAGCGGGTCAGGCGCTAAGCGGGAAAGGCGCGCGGCGAGTGATACGCTAAGCGGCATGGCGCGCAGAGGGTGAGGCGCTAAGCGGGAGAGCTCCCAGCATTGGAGGCGGTAAGCGGGAGACCCGCGCAGTGGGTGAGGCGCTAAGCGGGAAATGCCTACCGAGCGGGTGTTGAGAGTGGCGGCGTGGCCAACGCATGGAACGATGCGATCCCGCCGTCGGCTCCGTAATTTTCAATCGGCTTACTCGATCGCACCTACCCAGCGTGGTGATGCAACCCGTCGAGGCGCCCTTGACAGGGCTTCGACGGGGCCCATCAATGCAGCACGACGCGCTCGACGAATGCAGAGCCTTTCCCTCTCCGATTGCCGCTGAACGGCGCAGCAGTGGAAAGGAGCTGGCGTGCAAGCTAGATGTATTTTCCCACTCGCACAAGCCTATAATGTTACCTAAACTCATCTCACATGAGAATATCTGAGCGGTGTCGATGCTCCGCATGTTCTTTGTCGCGCCCCGGTTCCTCTATCTATGCTTAGCGTATGTTAGTCACATATCATGGTTCCTAGTGAAATCTGACTCCAAGGTTGGGTGACGGGGTAGTTTCCTGTGTTTGGAACTCCTCAAAGCTGCAATTTTTCGCCAAACCTCTCGCCACGCTCAGTTGTTTCGTTCTGGCGAATTTTTCCCTGGCTACAGTGCAAGTCCAAACAGTACTTGCAAATGTATACGAAAGCTTTAAAAAAAAAAACGCGTTTTACTGAGTCAGGCTATGTCTGGGACTGGTGCATGGAGTAGTCGAGCTTTTGCACTTCTTTATGCTAGCTTTTGCCTTTCTTTCCACCATTCCCAGAAATCCAGATAGAGGGAAGCGACCGTGGAGCAAAACCTGGTTCCAACCTTTCTTGACACCACGACACCGAGCTTTATTGCTGCGACACCGTACTCATGTCCAGCAAATGATGTCTGTTACCATCTTCTGACACTGTGTTCTGCTTTGGTGGTTGAGTTGCAAGCCGTAGCACAGGCGGGAGAGCAGATGATTGGTTCGGAGAGGTTTAGGGTGGTTCATGGCGTCTGACAGGCGACTGGGCTGGGCAGGGCAGCAGCTCGGAGGTCAGGTCTGGGAAGGATGCGCAGTCAAAGCAAACATCCTTGTCAGGCAGTGCCCGAACCAAGCTGACAGGGTTTTGGTGCAGCGAGCTTGGCGGGATCCCAGCCCGACCAATCAAACACGCACCTACCACCGTCATTCCCATACCAACAAGCCTTTGGCCACGTTATCGGTTGGTAGTTCCAGATTAGACTACACAGCTCAACGCTACAAAACACAATCAAAACCTTAATTCATGAGGACATTCATACGTTTAATCTATTGCCTTAAAAACTTGACAAATTACTAATTGCTGCTGGTATTCAACATAGACAGGAAATTAAAAAGCAGAAGCACTTGCACCGAGGAATGTTACCACGCTACTGTAAAACTCGTAGACGATAACGTCTTCGTTTCAACAAGTTTGCAAACAGCAATGCACCTTCTTGAGTCGACTCAAACGTCAGCTCCTTACAATGTCGCATGTTGTTTCTTCGACACGGAGATGGTATCACCAAGAATGACAGCAAGAATGTCACCATAGGAACGAAGATCAAACACAATAACACGGAAAGCCGGCATAAACGTAAACAAAAGAAGAAAAAAATCGAACAAACAAACCTTTACGCACCCAATAAACTGCATCTGCGCGGCATAACGCAGCGTCGAAGCCGCTCATACTGGAAAACATCTTCCCAGTCCATTCGAGAGCAGGAGCCTGGAAAGACCCTCCGGCATTGCTCCAGGACAGGGACAATGACCCGGGATTCGCGAACGTCAGGTAAACGGGAATGATAATCGCCGTAATAACCGCAATAATGACCGCGTGGGGTAAAATGGATCTAAGTACGGATGGCGATGTTAGGGATTTGAGCGATGGAGCACGCTGGAGGGAGGATTTCGGCGTCTTGGGCTTTTCTTCGAGGGTC